TTCAACTATTAATTATTTATTTAAATTTTTTGTTGTTATTTAAGTAAACAACTTTCATACAAAAGAAAATTTTTTTAAAAGCATAGAGTTTTAAAAAAAAATACTCTCTTCCCAGAGACTGAGATTTATTTTCACTATACAAACGTAATTGATGATTGCTCCGTTACGAATTTTCGAGACAAAATTTTATTAATTCGGAATTGATAATATGGCATTCGTATAATTTGCAATTTATTTATAATGAAAAAAAAAATATAATTTTATATTTAATAAATTTTTCTTCGAATAATTTTAATTATTCGATTAAGTATAGATTTTTGGTTTTGATTATAATTAAAATTATATTTTGAATTTTGTCATTTTATACCAATTATAAATTAATTGTAATATTTAGCCTGGCAACTCTTAGTTTTATGTTAAATTTAAATTCGTTTTTAATTCTTTGTCAAAAATTGAATTAATATTGCATAATTATGTTGGGTACTTACTTACTACTTAAATTAATTTTGAATAATTTTGAATATTTTTTGAATATTAAATTTAATTCCTAAAATTAATTTAAAAAGTTCAATTTTAAAAATATTTTGAATTTTATTCAAATTCCGAATTTTTCTTTTTTTAGTTTAATTCATATTTTTTTTAGAACAATTATTCACAATTAATTTATTTATTTATTTATTTTTTTTTTTCTAAAATAGCCACTATACATAAATGTAATTGTCTTAAAATAAGAACTCTTAGCCTTTCGACTAGGCTAGTCATCTATCTAGTTAAAATTCTATGACGCAATTAAACTGGGGTATGACTATCTATGATCTCATGCTTTAGCCCTATGCTCCTCCTAGGAGTACAAAAAAAAATTAATAATTCCTTATTTAAAACAAATCGAATTATTCAATAATAAAATGGGAATATAAAATCGCAATTATTGAAGTAAAATATGAGTGCTTACACTGAGAAAAAATTAAAACAAAATATATGAAAATCTTATATTTTTCATTTGTAAATTATATAAAATTTAATTTATTATATTCATCAATATTTTTTTGAAAAACATGCATATAGATCTACATAATTGATATATGTATATTGAACTTAGATCGTACACACTTAGATCTCTAAACTAATATTTTTATTATAATTTATTTTTGACCTTGTTTCGGTCTTCGACGCATTTTATGTTGTATCCTCTTCAATATATTTTAACAAATTTAGAGTTCATTTAAAAGAATTAATTTATTTGTATCATATGGTAAAAAAAAAAAGAAAAAGAATGAAAAATCACACAATTTCTTTAATGGAATGTCTCAATGTTAAGGCTTTTTTGTTTTTTTTTGTTTTGTATATACACAAATATTTCAAAGTTAAGATCACAATTTATTAATTTAACAAATACAATGTATAAAAATAATAAAAATTTTAAGAAAATAATAATTTTTTTGGTCTTGTGACGTACATACACCACATATCTACAATATTTATTCATATTATTATTATTTATTTTGAATATATTTTTTTATTTTTCTATTATTTTAAAAATTAAAAATTAAAAGAAAACAAAATACACATACTAAATTAAAATAATATCTTCATATATTTTTGTTTTTATTTCTGAAATAGATGTGTGCATAATATATATGTGTATTAATTAATTGTGTATATATATGATTGTGTATATTTATCGTACACACAAACATAATATATTATATTAGAATATATCAAATAAAATGAATGAAAATTCGCCACATTTTATATATAGAATTAGTTATATGAAATTAAATTAAAAAAAAAATAGAAACATAAATATGCAAATATAAATAAAATTTTTGGATAGAAAAAAAAAATGAATCACATAATTTAACATTTTATAATGACGTCAAATCACTTTTAAATTTTTATATAATTATATTGTATATTATAATATGTATACAAATTATATTCTGTTTATTATTTATTTTCTATTAGTACGCTCTTAAATTTTAAAATATTTAAAAAGGTTTTCATAATATACGATATTATGTTTTTTTGGTTAGCACGAATCGAAAACGTGCTTACCAAAATTGTGATGATTTTCCAAATTATTTTTCTTTTGATTAATTATTTATTTATTATGAAAATATTGGTTCAATTTTATTTTAATTTATTATTAATTAATTAATTGAATTCCAATTAAATATAATTTTTTTTTTGGATTGTATTGAATTGATTCTGATAAATATTTCGATGTAATGCCAAAATATAATTTTAGATCCTGAATAAGTTAAAGTGATATTAAGTTAATTAATGAAATTATCTTCAATATTTTCAAGGAAAAATCACTATTTTTGTCAGAATTAAATCGATTACAATTATATAAGATTGTTAACTAAATATTGTATAGTGAATTGTTCTTTGTCAAATATAAGAGATTTTCATAAACCAAATACTACAAAAACATAAATTAAACAAAAAAAGGGATTAGATTTTTAACAATTTCATAAAATTATAATAACGTTCATTAGATTTACAATCAAATTAACTGAAAGACTTAGAAAAAAAGAGCAATCAATCGGCTGTAAAACATGTCGCCAATGGATATTCTATGTGGTATGGTTTTGAAGTTATAAGCATTTATTTATATGCTACATACTAGAAAAATTATCCCAATTGGCTGTAGCTCGAAAACGAGTACATTTGCACCGTCTCCCATCACCCATACAATTTTTTGCTGAAAATTGATAAAAGAATCATTCCTGAAATTATTTGTCACCTTATGTAAAGGACTCTGAATAGCGTAGTTTTCCCTATATATCGTGATACTTGTATGCTGCGTTTACGCAAACGCCTATAATTTGAATTGCCCACATTTTACAAAACTAATATACATACATATATATTGTTATTTTTTTTTTTAATGAATATTTGTTTTAATATTTTTCTATATGATTTTATTTTAATGATTATAATCAAAACTGCAATACATTGTTTATTTTGCAAAATATTTTAATAACAAAATTTAGAAAAATCTACTACAATTTTATAAATATCATAATGATATTTTGATTAAATACAATTTTCAAAAAAAATTTTGGGAATATTTTTACATATAGGAAGAGAGAGAGAGAGAGAGATCTGAATATTGGAATTGTACTCTTTAATTTCTATAAAAATTAATATTGGAAATACCGGCGTTACCATAACGGACTTAAGTAACGGCGTCAACCAAAACCTAACCTAATATTTATATTATTAAAACTATTATTTAAAAACAGTATAAAGATTTAATAACTTTAAGTTATAGAGAATAATATTCAAAATTGTAAACATTTTTGTTTATTCTTTATTTTATAATCTAACAAAATATTAGTTTAAAACTTTCGAAAAATATTGCTGCCGCAGCATGTTCAAAGTTTTTACGAGTATTATGATAGCAGGTATTATTAGTTGATTTTCATATAATTCATATAACATTCATTAATTTATATACGTTAACATGCTGCCACTTATAGATCTAAATATATATACTAGAAATTTTCGATAAATTACATATGTGCATAGTAAATAAAATAAAATTTACATTGTTTATTTCATTAATTTAATCAAATTTATAATTAAATTTACATTGTAATTTCTTTAATCTGAAATTTTTTTGTAATTTTAAGGAATTTCTCTTGTCTTATTCAATTTCAAACGAATTAGAATATAATGTTACTAATCATACTTAATATTATTATACAATTGAGTTTGAATGAAATGTATATAAAATATACTGGCATATACATATATATTATGTACATAACTAAATTTACAATTTATGGAATGCTTAATTTTTTATGTGTTTTATAAACAATAATGTGAAATTTCTCAAATTGCATTCTATTCATAAATAAAATGAATATAAATTCATGAATAAAAAGACTACGTATATAAAATCTTTTCAATTAAAAATTCAAAATTCCAAAATGCAAAACAATGTATAATAAATTATTTAATGTATGTACACCTTAAAGTAAACATGAGAATAATAATTATTAAAAATTCACTTTCACACTTAATTTTCACTTTAAATATATTTAAAAATTACTGCTTAAATGTATGATTATGATAAAATATCTATTGTAATAACATTGACTTTATAAGTGAAATAAATAATTTCTCTTGTACATTATTGTACAAGAGTACAAAGTAGTATAAATTTTATTTAATATAAAAAAAATTCATACCCTTTCTGTATTAAATTTTCATAGAATATTTTAATTCACAATTTTTCACATAATTTTTATTAAATAATTTAAAAAATGCATATGTGCATGAAAACAGTAGCAGTACACTTTTATTAAGTTAAGTGATTTTCGATCATTCAAACATGCACTTAAATTCCTAAATTAAATCTTAGAAAGTCTTTTCACACATATATTTAAAAATTTGCAAAATGAATATTTTACTTTCCAGATTTGTATCATACTCAACTAATTCTTCAATATTCAGAATCTCCCTATTATTCTTCTAATAAATAATATTTTTGCAGTATTAATAAAAAAGAACTCAAAAATTCCCTTAAAACTCCAAGTACATTATTGTCATTTTTGAACATGTCATTTTTTCAGATTTTGAAGTTTGAATTTATTGAATGTGTTTTATAAGATTTACGAGTATAAGAATTAAGCTAGAACTGAAATATCAAAAATACTTGTACGTGCACTTTACTAAGTTACCATTAATTTTTAGAAAAATCAAAAAATTAGATTTTAAACTACAAGTTTTCATAAAGAAAAATGACAGAACAATGATTAATAAAAAATTATTTTCAAAATTTATTTATTTTAAAAATTAATTAAACATGAAAAATTTTTGGTAAATTCTAGAGTCGAAATTATTATTGAATTATTTAAGAAATATAGCAGTTAGGCTATAGGTGAAAAGTAATTATTTTATAAATTCTCCACATACATTTATTTGTACTCGTATTTATTTTTTTAATCGCTATCTCAAAAAAAAAAATTTCTTTTCATATTTTTCAGGGATCTCCGTTATCATCAAAGGTAGCAATGTTTAATAAGGTCGCTGATCAACATAATGCCTCACAATTATTAAATCCATTTTCAAATGTTCGGGGCAGTTCTCCAGCTAGACCAACATTTAGCAAAGATGAATATGGAAAGTACGTATACACATACATATCTACATACATAATGTATATGTATATAAAATGAAAATTCAATTAAATTCTTTTTTTTTTATAACAATATATTTGAAATAACATACAATATTGTTTTTTTTGTAGACCACTCGCTGGAAGTTTAACAGAAATGCGTGGTCAAAAAGCTAATATACATGTATGTAAAGAAATGTTAGAACTTTGCGAAATTATTTGTCAAGAAGGATTTGCTCATCCAGAAAATAAAGATATTAAAGTCATTTTCTTTGGTGATTTATTTAATGTAAATATTTTTAAAAAAAAAAACACTTTTTCTCAAAAAAAAAATTTTAAATTTTAAATTTTTAATTTCTAGATCTATAATCATATTAATGATAAATGTGTTGGTCTATTATTAAGAGCAAGAAAACATAAGCTAGTTGATTTTGAAGGTGAAATGCTTTTTCAGGTACAATAATTTTGATCTACAAAATTATTTATTTTATTTCAATAATTTTTTCAAAAATTATTTTTATATAGCGACGAGATGATGAAGTTCCTATAGTAACAACAAAACCAATTGCAGAAATTCGAAAATATATTCATAATAAAACAGAAGAATTTCGTAGAAGTGTTAGTCCAGCACCAAGAGCAACAAGTGTAATTATTGATAATATGAGACGTGCTGTTTCACAAACTCCAACAACATCACCCTCAACTTCAAAAGCTGGTACTCCTAGATCATTATCACCACAACCTAATGCAAAGATAACTACAGAAAAAGTACCAGTACAACATATAGCAAAACTTGAACCTACATTACGTCAAGCACAATCAACACCTGCAATTAATATTGTTGGAATTGAAAATCCAACTACTACTGAAAATTCAACTATTGAAACACCAGAATCAAAATCTGAAAAAAAAGATATTAAAAATAATAATAAAGATGAAAATAATACTGAAGCAGGAACCAGTCCCAAAGTAACTGTATATTTAACCAAAGCTCCTGTTGTTGAAACTAATATAATTGTTGAAGAAAATGAAGAAACTGAAACAAAGAAAGAAGATAATATACCAAATCCAGAAATAAAAGTTGATATACCAAATAAAGAAAATGTAGAACAAAATGTTTCTGAATCTAATAAATTACCAGAAGAAAATAAAGAAATCAAAAATGAAATTTCTAATAATGAATCTAATCAAGAAAATAAAGAAAATATTGTAGTAGCTTCAGAAATATCTGATAATAATGTAACACCTGAAGTGCAATCCGATACAGTAAAAACTGAATCACAACCTGTAATAGAAACCACAAATGAAATTCAAAATAATTCTGAGGAAAAACATGAACAAATAACTCCAGTAGAAAATAATACATCAGCTGAAAATGCTAATTTACAAATTATTGTAACTGAACCTACATCAAATACTGAATCAACAACATCTAGTGAAGCAGTAGAAAAAACTACTGAAGATGCGGCAGTTACTGGAAAACCACCTACTGGCATAGTACATAATGATAATAACGAAGTAATAAAAAGTCCCGAAGAAAGTACACCTATAGAGCAACCACCAAATAATAATAATTCTCAATAATTTTTCTCTTCTTTTCTTTTTCTTCGCATTAAATTCTCAAAAAAAAAAAAATTACAAAAAATTTAATTTATTTTTTTCATTTTTATTATGACAAAAACGCTTTCTATGTATAGAAATTTTTAATTTTCGCTTAAAAATAAAAAGTATAACAGAAAAAAATCAATTTTTTTTTTTTTTATTTGTTAAATGATAGTTATAATTTTAACTGAATATAATAATTTATAGTCATTCTATGTAATTTTTCTTTATATAGTTTAAATGAAATATAATTAGATTTGAAAATTGTATACTTCATTCGAAATTATGAATAATTTTAATGGTATTTCAATGGTATTTGAAGAATATTACATAAAAATAAAAAGTCAAAATTAATATTTCAAATAATAACAACGTACTACTAATTTTATATAATTTTAAATAGAACAATGAAAATTTTAATAAATAAAACAAAACAAAAAGAGATTAATTTAAAAAATAAAATAGTTTAGTATAATTTGAATAAAAAAAAAAAAAAAACAAATAACATAATGGTATGTAAATTATTTATTCGTATATACATATTTTATTAAAATGTTAAAAAAAAAGAAATTATGTATAATGAAAAAAAATATTTAAGACACTGTAAAAAAAATTAAATAAAAAATTAAAAAGTATACAGTATTAGAAAAATAAATATTATTGTTTTCTTTTTATTTTTCCATTTCTCTTTCATAAATTGCTTAAAAATCTTAGTTAAATCTAAAGTTATTTTATATTTTTTCTATAACTAAAGACAATATGAATAAGTAGATAGGGTATTTTTAATAATTCAATTCTATTTCAGCACTTAATTTGCAATAATTTCTAATAATTAAGTAATTGAATAGAGGAAAATATATCATTGCAGTTCTAACTTTACTAAATATGCAGAGTAAATATGCAGTTCTAAATTTACTACTGCAAATAAAATAAAATTTCGGAAAATTTAAAATAATTATTAGAGTAATTTTTGTGTTTTCTAATTATTTTTATATTGTTACATTTAGTTTTCAATTTATTAATTGAATAAAAAACGTATTACTGTGATAATACTTTAACAACTTCCAAATCTTTCTTTCCTACAAGTAACAACATTGAAGATTTTGCAGTTGTTTTTTACTATTGCTAAAATTAATTAAATTCTAAATTAGAAATGTTAAAACGTAAACTGCATTTTCAAAAATACCTGATGTTTCATTGCTTATTGTTATATTGTAACTATGTATGCTTATTGCTTATATTATATTGTAACTATGATAAAAATTTAATAAGTATTTAAATAACTAAAACCTTAATAGCCACAATTGTCTTGTAAATTCAATTCATATAATATGTAGGTTTATTTATAATTAATAAAAAAAATTTGCTTACAATTTTTATTTCGAATTAAATTAAAATTTCTCCTTGAAATACATGTATATGAATTCTTCTAATTCATGGATCTTCAAATAGCAAAAAATTTCATTTTAACATTAAATAACAAAATTATTTTGCGAATATATATTGTGCACATTTCAAAAGAATAATTTCCAGATACAAGTATTTTAAATCTACATAATTACAATATCTTTAACTCTATAGCTATTTTGAATTTATTAAAGTTATTTAAATTTATTTTTACGTATAAAATATAAAATATCACAGCATTTTACGCCATTTAATTAATCTATTTAATTTAATTTTGAATTATTGCCACAATTAATATAAATTCTGTAAATTCTCTTCTTATTCCATTGGTTACAGTTCAATTATAATAAATTATGACTAGTAAATGATTTACTTAATCTAAAATTTCGATATTTAAAATTGAATCATTTGAACAAATTTTATATTATAATTGTTATATAGAAGTAAAAGAGTTGAGTTTATAAAATTAAAATTAATTAATATAATTTTTTAATACAATATTATTTGTATTATATGCCCTTATAAAAAATATTTGGTCAATATAAAAAGAAATCTCATGTATGGTAGCAGTTATAATAATAATGTACTTGTATCTATTTCTTAATTTCATGATCCTAAAAATATGCAAAAATTTTTAAAATATTCAAAAAGAAAATTGTGATTATTAAGAAAAGTATGTATACAAAAATTTTCCTTATTTATTGCGGCATGAAAATACATTGTAATTGCTAAATTGGTACAAAATTTAAATTACAATAAACATAAATTCTATTTGTTTAAATTTATAGATATATGAAAATGCTAAATAGCTATTCAATCAAGCATAAAAACATATTAAGATGTGAGTACATTTGTTTCTTAATATTATAAAATTTCAGAAAAAAGTTTTAATTTTCCACACTCACCTACAGCATAATAAAAGCTTTACAATTTATTTTTATTTATATATAAATTAAATGTAATCATCGCTGTGAATTTGTACATTTCAATTATAGGAATTAATTATGTTTGTATATGCACATTTATAAATTTTATAAATAGAATTTTTCAATTAAATTTACAATTATTTTTTGTTTTTCATTAATCTAATTTCAAATAAGAATAATTGAAATTAGTTAGCCAAGTAATTTATAGTAAGTAAATATTATTTATTTATAAATATTTAAAATTGAATATTAAAATACAAACAATTAATTTTCTATTTAATAGTAATCATTAACTCAAAATTTAAATGACAAACCAATAAAATTAAACAAATATTAATAAATAATGCCATTTAGAATGTTTTTGATTGAAGCATTTTTAACAATTGGTCTTTCAATTTTCACAATAATAATGTAAGTTTATCAATAATTATTAATATATAAAAAAAATATGTATGTCTATATATGTGTGTGAACATTTGTATAATAATTATTAAATTTCTTATTTTAAAGAAATAAACATGGTGGGAAACATTTGAAAAAGTCGAATAAAATTAATAAATCACCGTGGTATAAGAGGAAAAATGGATATGAAAACGAGCCCAAACCTTTGGTTTCTTAATTTGTATTTTAATGATAAACGTAAGTACACAAATACTAGGGATCATTAGTTCTTAAATATTAATTTAATAATTTTATAATTCACTATATCAAGATAAAATTTTTTTGATTAAAGTTAATTTAATTAAAATTCTGATATTAAATTATTTTCATATAAGCACTTTCGTGTGCGAATTATGTATAAAGGCGTAAATTTAAATTTTGTAATACTTAACAAAAAGCTTTTTTTTTAAATAAAAACTTTCGTTTTTTTAAAAATAATATTAATACAAAGACTCTTTTTTCAAAACAAAAGCTACAATTTCTAAATTTACGTACATGATTCACATTTCATGCATTCAAATTAAATTTATATTTTAGTTTGTCATATTCGATCATTGTTTATATTTTAAAATTACTACAGTAAATTAAATTAAATTCATTGAAAGAATATTATTGGAAACATTTGTTTTTTATTTCGAAATTAAAATGCAACGGAACAATCCATTTGGTCCAAAATTTTCAGATCCAAATTATGGAAAGTAAGAAATTTTCTTATACTAATTTTCAAAATTCAAAGTTATTACGTATAGCTCTAGCAAATATTGTATTTTCTAACCTAATTTTTAAAACTTATTTTTTACACAAAAACAAATATTTTAGACCAATTGAAGGTAGTCTAACTGCCATGCGTGGTAAAAAAGCTAATTTTCATGTCAACAGAGAAATGTTACAATTATGTGAAATAATTGATCAACAGGGTATGCCGAATCAATATAATCCTGAATTAAAAGTTATACTCTTCGGTGATCTATTTGATGTACATAAGTTTTTTTGAAATATAAATTTTAAATTATATTACATTTTATAATTTTAATTATTTAGATTTACAATTATATTTCAAATAAAGTTGTTGGAATTCTTTTAAGAGCTAGAAAACATGGTCTTGTATATTTTGAAGGAGAAATGTTATTTCAAGTAATTTATAGATATAATATTAATTTAATAAAATTCAAAATTATTAATGAAAATTATAATATTTTAGAGACGTGATGATGATGTTCCAATTTTTATGTTGAAACCTTTATCTGAAATTCGACAATTACAACATAATCTTGATGTAGCTGAAGCTTTTGATCAAGAAGCATCTGGCCCAGCTTTACCTACATCAGTTTTAATGGACAGACAAGCAAATCAAAGAAGATTCTAATAAATTTACACAAAAATTTTTTTTTTTTTAAATTAACATTTAAGTTTTGTTTTACTTTTATTTAACTTAATTATAAAATGTGATGATTATTTGAAAATATACAAACATATAATAATAATAGAAACAAACTTTATAAAATAACCTAAATACATTATGATTTATTGAAAATCATTCATAGTTTTCAAAATTTTTAATAAAATGTAAATATTTATATATTGTATTTGAAAAATTTATTTTTGCAAATTATAATTTTAAATTCGCTCTTTTAATTTAAATATAAGCGGATCTCTACTTTTTAATATTAATTCAGCTATTAATACTGGTTTCTCGTTACCAACATATTCAACTTCGAAATTTCTCAAAACATTTGTTACAACACTTTTAATCTCTAACATTGCAAATTTTTGTCCTATACAATTTCTGGGACCAGCTGAAAATGGTATATATGCATATGGATTTTTTCTTTCTGCACTTGTTGCCAAATCAAAACGTTCTGGTATAAATTCTTCTGGATTTGGATATAAATTTTCATCGAAACCTAATTGTAATGGTGATATTCCAACATTTGTTCCTGCTGGAATTGTTTTACCATCTACAATACAAAAAAGAATATAATTATATAAGAAAAAATTAAAATAAATTAAAAAACAATTCAATTTTTGTATAAAAATTGTTTAAAATTGAAAATATCTTACTAATAACGCTTTCTTCTTTTATTTCTCTTCCAATTATAGGTACAGACGGATACATTCTTAATGTTTCTTTAACACATAACTCAATATATGACAAATTATTTAAATGTGATATAGTAATTGATTGTTTCTTATTTGTACCAAGAACTTCTATAATTTCATCATAGCATTTTTGTTGAGCTTTTGGATTTGTTGCTATATTATAAAAGAAAAATAAAATAGCAGATGATGTTGTATCATGTCCTTCAAACATAAAAGTATCTACTTCTTCTCGAATATCCAAATTAGTTAATGGTTTCCCATCAATTTCAGATTTTAAAAGAATATCTAGAAAAGCTAATTTTCGTTTAACTCCTAAATCATTTAAATCATTTTGAATATCATCTAATATTGTAGTAGTTTTTTCCTCATCAGAAGATTTTATCAATTCATTTCGTCTTGATATTATTACTTTTTCGGAAAAATCATGCATAATTTTTAAAGCATTTTTTTCATCACTTGCAAGGCTACTAAATTTGAAAAGAATATCTGGTCGAAATCGTAAATCAAACATTCTTTTATGTAGAACTTTTGACATTCTAAAAATCAAATAATAATAATTTATAAAAAAAATATACACGCATAATTATATAATTTCAAAATAATTATTATAGATCTACAATATTCGAAATCTACTTAAATATTTGTATATTTATGAATTTTTATATGGAACAATAAAAAAAAAATTAAACTGATATTTTTCGATCAGTAATGTACAAGGATAGAAGGAAGTAATGTAGAAGAATAGAAGGAATTACTTACGTTCTAGCCGCCAAAACATATTTTGAATCAGAATTAGTTTGAGCATTTACTTTGACACCCATTGCAGTTTCTAAAATTAAAATAATAAACTTTAAAGTACATAATTAAAATTTTAAAATAATTTTAATATTAATTTATAATATTGACAATTTATCAAAATTTTCTACCAGCTCCGAAATATTAAATAATCTAAAAAGGTCAACAAAACTTTAAGTACTCATAAATAGCTAGTACGTATTTTTCAAAAATTAAAAATAATAATAAAAGTATAGAAAATGAAGGACAAAATTTTAAAAATATAAATAAAGATTAGGAAAATTAAAAGATAAGGTTGAATTCAAATGCAAAAAAAAAAATTTTTTGGTAAATAAATAAAACCGGATCAATTATTAAAATAGGACAAAGTCCAATATTTTGGTTAATTGTAATTTAAAGAAAATTGGATATTAAAATTCGAAAATTTTAAAATGTTAGTATATAAGTAGCCATTTAATTAAAGAGTTTAAAGATTTTTAAATTAAAGAAAATATGCGCAAATTTATGAATAGCATAAACTTATCAAGGAATTGCTCAACATAAAATACTTAATTTGCTTATCAATTCCAATATTCCAATTAACCACTAAATATAACAGTAAAAACAATTTTTTACAAAAGCAATAAACAAAGCGGTCTAAAATTTTTAATCAAAAAATTCAATTAAATTTTGATTAGATTAAAAAATTTAAAAAAATATGTAATTATCAATATTATTATCACCAAAAAAAAAAAATCCAAAAATACATAAATAAATAAAAAAAAAATATTAATAATTACCACAAATAACATCCAATGTCGCCAAATTAAAATAATTATATAAATCAATTTCTTTACCAATTTGTTTTTTCAATTGTTCAACAAGTATATTACCTTGTTCTTCAAATATATCAATAAATTGTTCTAAGATTTTAAAATGAAATGCTGGTGTTATAATTTTTCTACGTTGAAACCATTTTTTTCCTTTACTAATTAATAATCCTTCACCCATCCATGCTTCTAATAAATGATATTCACCAGCTTTATCATTATGTATAGTACGTCCTAAAATTTCTTCAATATCTTTAAGATTTGATATTAAAATATTTAATTCTGGTCCAATCCATATTTTCATTAAACCATCACCACTAAATTTATCGAAAAGATCAAGTGCTTTTAAAATTATTTGTTCTGGTGGTTGACCAATAAATGATAATGCATTTCCCAAAATTGGTATTGTTGGTGGTCCTGGTAATTTTTTTGATAATTGTAATATTCTAGCATATTTAACGTATAAGTAACTAAAAATAAATGTTAAAATTCCAATTAAAATAATTGTTAAAAACATTTTACCAATACGAATCTTTTTTACTTACTGAATTAAATTTCGTTTGAACTTGATTCTTTAAAAGCTTTATTGAATCCCAATTTTTTTTTTTTTTAGTAAATTATTATTTTTTTTTTTAAATTTGATATCAGTAATAGATAATGTTATTGAATTATATTAAAATTATAGATTTAAAAAATAAATAAATAAATAAATAAATGTTTTATTATAAAAGATTAACATGTAGTTAAATGTTCTTTTATTGTTAAAATTATTGTTTAAAATGTTCTTTTGACCTATTCCTAAAGTACAGGTGACCTTTACATCTACAATATTCGAAAAACAGTTGACCTTTTATCTACAACGTTTTTTATTTTTTAACGGAGAAATTCTATGGCATCAAAATATAGAAATTTTATTATAAATTAATTTTATAGACATATAAAAATTATATGAGTCGAAGTTCAAAATAGGACTACTTTCGAAGTTCAAATTTATGCCTTTTTAATTTCAAAAAAATTTAATCCAAATTATATTTTAATAGTTTTAATTAATGTTTTATCAGTTTTAAATATGAAGTCTATGGTGCGTAATATATTTTTTTTTTAAATAATTGCCCCCAGACATAACATTAAGTGTTTTCATAATATATTAATAAAATATAATTACATACATAGATAATTTTGCGTAATTAAACAGCTGGAATAAAATTAAATTGATAAGAAATAAAATTAAAAGCAAAAGTGAAATCTCCTATGACGAAATATTGCCTTTAAAAAATTAAAAATGATCAAGGTTATTACTGATAAGAAATAATCCGGAATCAAATTTATAAATATAATTTTGTAAATAATTCAATTAGTAAAAATATTAATTATCTATATGTCTGAATATAAAAGTTTTCGTGTTACTCATATTATTTATATTGTTATTATTATGTAATATAAAATTGTTTCTGAATTCATTATACTCGTAGTAGTAGTTTATTGATATTTTCCTTTATAAATTTATTAAATTTACTATTAGCCCTAGTTATCTACTAAAATTTACTATTGCTCAGTTATCTACTACATTCAGCTTCTTGATAATTTGTATTCTGAGCTATAATTAGAGCTATAATTAGTTCAATTATAATTAGATTATATTATAAAATAGAAAGATTTATACAATATGTAATCGCATTTTAATATTGATTGATATTAATGTATCTGCCATTATCTTTATTATAGACAAGATATGAAAAAGGCTTTGTATAACAAATTTTTGAAATTTATAAATTATATTTGATAACAATAGATTTTATTTTACAGTTTATAAGTTAATTAAAAAAAGAAATCTTTTCTTAATTATTAAACAAAATAGCAATATATAAATATTATAATATTATAATAAATATGCAAAAAAAATTATAATTTTTAAATTAAAAAAAAAGTGATAAAATTTATCAAAAAATTTAAAATATATAAATTTACATTTGAAAATATTCGAATAACAAATAAATTCTAAAACAAAAATATAATTTTTTTTAGATAAGAGAATAATTTTCGGAAAATTTTATTTTTATTTTATAAGTAAAACGCCAACTAAGGTTATTAATAAATATTATGAATGCTGTTCAAATTATTTTAGAAAATTGCAGTTCATTCTAAATCAAAATAAACATATTTTTCAATTTATTATAATAATTATTTCATTTTGAATAAGAAATATAATTTGTTTAATTTACAATATTGATAATAATCAATATTGAATTGTGCAATAATTTATTCAAAACATAATTATATTAAGAATATTGTTAAAATTTAGAGATTAATAGATAAACATGTAAGATAATAAAGGAGATTTTAAATAAATTAGATATTCCCTGATAGTTTTAAGTAAATCTCAAAAATCTTTTTTCATGGACTTACAAATCTACAGAAACTAAATATTTTATTTAGTAAATTTGTAACATACTCGATTAATTTATAAATATCTAATATTTTTCTATTACGCTTTTTATCTAAATTTTAATATTTTTTGCAATAGTTAAAAAAAAAACTTAAAAATTAATTTAGAACTTTAATTGTCATTTTCGAACATGTTATTTTTGAAGATTTTGCAGTTTGTGTTAATCCGAACGTTTGTTATCCGAACTTTATATTAAGATCTATGTTAGAGCTACATCGAAATCCCCATTATTTCCGAGAATTAGTTCATTAATTCGAGAATTATCAAAAATTTCCATATACATCTGTAAGCTACAAAAAAAAAATAAAATAAAATATATTGATAGATTTTGAGTATTGATTTCTATAATTTTTATTGATCACTTCGAAATTTTTTTTTTATTTTTATAATTCAGTTTATTTTTTTTTCATTTTATTTTATTTTTTCATTTTTTTATTAGAAAAGTTGAAACGCAATTGTGTTTTTGTCTCCATTTTTTCATATTTTTTTTTTTCAGCTAAATAATTTTTTTTCCTGGTAAATATAATATTTCAATACATAATATTAGTAATATCATTTTTATTATGTCTTTTATAGTCAAGATTTGTAATAATTTTTAATAAATTTTTTTTTTTATTTTGAACAAGTTTTTTTTTTTTATTTTTAATATTATTGGTTTTGAAAATAAGAAAAAAAAATTTTAAAATATTTTAAAATATTATTTTTTTTTTTATAATATAATATTTTATATAATATAATTTATATAGAAATTTTACTATGCACTTCGGTAAATTGTTTTTTTTAATAATAAACAAAAAGAAAAAGTCCTGGTTATTATAATTTTAATATTTTTATATATATATATATTTTTTGTTATTTTAAAATTTTTTTTTTTGGTTAATTTTCAATCTTTCATATATTTTATTTTTTAATCAATTCAACTTCTTACATAGATTTTTAAATATAATCAATAATGAATGAAAACAAAACTATAAGAATAATATTTCAACAATAAACAATAAAAATTTAATTTAAAATTTTGGTTTGATTTTTATTTTTATTTTATTTTTTTTTATTTTCGGTTTCCTTTTTTAATAAATTAAATATTTAACAGGTTTATTTATTATATTTGTTTTTTTTTTTTTAATATTTATTTTTAATATTTTATTTTTAAATTGTCAGAGTACGAATAAAATTTATCTAAAAAAAAAATAATTAAATAAATAAGTAAATTTTAATTATTGTTAAATTAGAAGTACACAATAATTAAATATATTAATATTAATAATATTAATCTAATAAATTAAAAAAATACGAATTCAAATCAATAATTAACAACTTTTTACAAAAAAAAACAAAAGTTTGCGTATCTATTGGTAAAAAATTAATTTTTTTAGAAACTTTCAGAAATTTTTTAAAATTTTTTAAAATTTCTAAGAATGTTCTGCTCAGATAATTAAATCTATTTAATATAATTTTCAAATTTTACTGATACATATACTTAATGATAGAGATTTTCATAAACGCAATACTGTAAAACTATTATATTTATGAACAAATTAAGTGAGCACCATTTGTTTATGAACACAAATATAGCGCAGTTTTCGCTTTATTTCATGATATACTGCGTTTATAAAAATTTTTTAAAGAAAATAGTTAATATATAAGCAAAAAGTTTTTTTTTTTTTTCTAAAACATGTAAAAGAATTACATGTTTATATATTTTAATAAAATTTTAATATAAATTTTAAATATTATTAAATTTTTTTAAAATATCAAATTTTCTTCTACAAACATTAATTTACACATTTATCACGAAGAGAAAGCAATATCATAAAATAATAATCTTAATTGCAATAATTAAAATTGAAGTGAATGAAATTAATAAAAAAATTCGATAACATTTATTGTTATATTGTATAATATTTTTTTTTTTTTCATTAGACAAATTTTATTCGTACACTTTTTACATTTTGAGATCATAAGAGTTCTTTTCATATATTTATATATACATATGTTAAAAAATGACTGGTAAGTTTTCTTTTTAATTTAATAGATATTTTTTTTTAATATTTACAAACGAAAAAAAAAATAATAAAAAAGAGAAAAAGAATATAGTTATTATGTATAATTTTTTTTCTTATTGAATTTTAATTAATACGATTATAAATTTTTTTTTTTTTTTGGTTTTATTTATTACTTTTTACAACAAATTTTTGTTTGATTTCTGTATAATATATATTGCATTATTATATAAGTTTTAATACTTTGTTTTTATATTTTAAAATATATATGTTATACATATAAATATTTTTAATTTTTTTTTTTTTATACACATTTTCACATGCATCATCATAATACACATATATCTAATTTCACTTTAATAATTTACATAATATATTTTATATACATATACATAATGTAATATTCATTACATATATAAATTTTTTAATTGGTTTGGTTTTGGTTTTAATTTATTTAAAGTTTTATTTTAATAATTAATTTATTTATTATTTATTTTGGAAGTACGTTATTTTTATTCAGTTTTAATACAGATTGTTTTGGTTTTATATTTTTTGTTGGTTTTTAATTTTGTACAAGTAAACACAAAATTAAGTTAATTATTGAAGAGATTCAACCAAAATAAACGAAATGAAATCAACTGAAATGTAAAGTTTAACCTGTACTATATATGAAATTAAAAATAAAATACATACATAATATAAATTTATAATTCAAAAATATTTTTATATAATATAAAAAAACTTCTTCCTGTTTTTTTTTTTTTTCATTTTCATGTTATGAATTATGTATGAATTAGGAGATGAAATAAATGAATTTCATTGTTATTATGTATTTATTTCTTACTACTTTATAGTTATTATAATAATTATTGTATATTACTTCTTAGATAATTAAATATTATTAAATATTTAATTTAAGAATAGAATAGCAAATTGCTTTTATAAATTACATAGAAAATCGCCAAATATATTTCGAATTCAATTCAAAACTATTACAATTAAATTTTTACTCTATTTTATTTATCAATGAAATCGTGTTGAATTTAGAAAATTTGCAAGAAATTAGTGATTATTATAGCTTCAAGTTAATAAAGAAATTGTTAATAATCTATCTAGTATTAAAAAATCATTATTTTAAATAAACATTTTTAATTCCTTTCTTTTGAAACGTTCACATTACATTTAATTTCTTTTCGTATATTTTGGTGTAAAAGACAGAAACATAATTAAAGTAGATATTTTTTTTTTTTTGAAAAAGCAAATTTTAAAACAAAATAAAATAGATATTATTTTAATTTAATAAACAAAAATTATATTGGTTGTAGGTGAATTGAAACAGTGTAAAGCAATTAATTGGCACCACATCCAATATTAAAGAATAAATTCTTTATGTATGTAATTTTTATTTATAAATAATCTTTTCTTTTTAATGTTGTTGCTTTAATAAAAAGCCAGAGCAAATAATAAATAATAAACTCTTAAAAAAACTGATTATATAAACAATGAATTTTTTGTGCCAACTAATATTAAATATTTAAAAATAAACTTAACGTATAAAATTGACTTTGAAAACATTATCGAATCACATTTTATTGATCACATAAGCTACATTAGTTATATAAACAGAAGTATCCAATTTATTATATATATTGGAAAAATGGTGTATTGATTAAAAAATATTTATATATACAAAAAATAAATTTTTTAATGATATTATAATGAATGAAAGTGCAAACTATTTTAAATTTTAAAACGATCATTTTTATAAATTATTATAACTTATTAAAAATTAATCATATTAAGAAAAAAAAATTCGATTTATTACTATATAAAATTTTCAATAATACTTAATTTTGATATCGTTTCTTTTTAAATTGTTGAACATTTTGGTTTTATAAAAAATGGTTAATTTAAATTGAATTATTTCTGATTCTTTGAAATTTTTAAAAAATTATATAACTACCAATTAATTGTTCGTTATTTAATTTATTGGAAAAGGTACAGTTCATTTCTTTATGTTTTTTTGGTTTTTTTTTTTTTTTTGGTTTTTTTGGTTTCTTCAAAATCTTAATATTTATTATATTTATAAAAAACAAAAAGGATATAATTGAAAAACACATTCATTATTTCTAAAAACAAAGAAAAAAACTTAATGAATGTGCTAAAATTTCAAAAGAATTTGAGTGTAATATATTTAGTATTTTACAAAATCAGATAATAAAAAATTTAAATGTAACTAATTTGAAATTTAATCATATTCACTACATTTAAACTTATAAAAACATAACAAAAGTTCAATATTTTAAGTTTGAACTTTTTATTAATAAAAGTAAATTTTTAAAATATCATTGGGAATTTTTATTATAAATCATTCTTACAGTACAAATCACACATATTTAATTTATTATTATTTTTTTTTCTTTAATCTAAATTTACTTTTATATACAATTAATTTAATTTGTATATATGTGTCTTTAAAGCATATTAAATGCTACTAATTACATTTTTTTTTAAACTTTGATTATACATTTATTTTTATTATAATATTTGCTACGTGATTTTTTTTTTTCAATTTTTCTTTTAATATTTAAATAATTTTTAAAACATGTATTAAATCTACTAGTAGTTCTCGGGCAGTATAACGTTTTACATTTTTTTTTATATCAGTGATTTTCTTTTATTACTATTAATATTAATATTATAATTATTATTAAATTTTAATTATCAATTAATTGTTTTCGTAAAAAATTTCAACTACATTTTTATTTGACAATTATTGTATATATTTATGTTAATCTATTAACTTAAATTTCGCTATAAATATTAATGATTTTGTTTATTTAATTTTTACAATTTTAAAGTTTATAGATTTATTTAGTTGAAAATGACGGAAAATCGCGTGCGGGTAGAGTATAATACTGAAATATAATTGATTTATTTGTTGATAGAAAAGAAGAACAAAAAAATGGTTGCAAATAATTTGAAATTAGTTTTTTTTTTTTAAATGATTGGCGAATGATTTGAATTGGCGAATGTTATTGAGGATATTGCTTGTAGTTGAATTGTGAGATTTAAGTTTTAAAGTAGACACTATCGATGGAGTATCATGTTAAAAAATTTCTCTAGTAATAATTAATATTATGTGAATATCTTGAATATTAGTGAAACGATTAAAAATAATTTTAAATTAAATATTTTTGTGCAAACCATGCATTAGTTGTTATATACACATATTACATTACATGGTTATTATAATGAATATGAATTATGTATAATATGAAAACTACGATAGGCCTTGAATCAACTACAAATCACATTCTGTTATGGAATTAGTTTTTAAACAAATTTAAAAATATTACAAAAAAAAATAAAAATTATTAAATTTTTTTTTTAATTATTTCTATAAGTACTTCCAAGTGGTTTTTAAAAAGCTAAAAATAATTTCGTAACTATTCTTCCTAAATTTAGGAAAAATTGTAGGCCAATTTTAACAATTATAGTCTGTGTATATATTTATTATTATTTTCTTTTTTTTTTTAATTATTATTATTTATTTTTATTTAATTTACCAATAAAGTCTTCTAAAACATTACAAAAAATTATTTTTTATTTCCTCTTTACTTAATTTTTTTTATACATATTTTCATTCTAAATAGGTAACTCACAACTTTAAGTTTTCGTTGTTAATTGGAAGAATTTAGTAAAATGCTTAATATCTTTTCTGTGTTCAAAGGTTACACCATTTTTAAAATTTTTATATTATTGAAATTTTCATATAATTTTTATATAATTCAATTTAAAAATTATTCTCCAATTCATTGACCTTAAATTTTCAAATAAGATATTGAGGGTTTTTATTATACATTAAAATACAACATTTTTTTGTTAATACTCGTAGTATTTCTAAAATAAATTTCAATATTAAAGAAATATGTAGATTTTCTTTGTGTATTAATGAAAACATTTAAATTTTCATTTTTTTTTGAATTGTATGAAGAAATAGTAAAAAAATAATGAAATCATATAAAATTATGGAAATTTTTTTTTGGAGCAAATTATACAAAATTATAGAAAAATTAATTTTTTCACTCTTCATATATATTTTGTTGAATATTTTTTAAATTTAAAATTTTTTTTAAATTAAAAATTTATCAAGTACTTATTGAATGTTTTAAATTATTAAAAATAGTATAACCTTTAAATTTACAAAACTTAATTTTACTCAATATAAAAAATTCTAAATTTTTTCATTAAATTTAAGTAAATTTAAGTACATATAATATAATTTTAAAAGGAACTCAACTAAAATGTCTTTCATTTTCTATTTTAATTAAAAAATTAATTGGACTAGAAATTAAATAAATTGTTAATCCATTTTATTATACTATTTTCTCTTATTTTTTCTTTATGTACTTTTTTTTTTGGTAATAAATATTAATTTTAATTAAATTCTGTTTTTCTTTTTTTTTTCTTTTATTATAGAAATTTTTAAAACGCATCACATTTATGTTTTCTTTATATTTAACTCTATTTTTAACTTTAATTTAAATTTTTTTTTTGTCTTATATAATATATAAATATATTTGATTTTCATTAATAGAAAATTAATTTAAATTGTATATTATAAATATACAACATTAATTTTTGTCTAGTTTGTTTGTTTGTAATTTTCTATTTTTACTTTTTGGTATTATACATATATGTATATATATTTATATAATATATTATTTACCTATATATATATATTTAAATTTTTTTTATTAATTTCTCATTATATAATAATTTTCTTTTTAAGTATATATAATAAAAATTACACATAAAATTAATTATGAATTTCAAAATTAAAAATGGAAAAAAAAGTATGTTTACAAAATTAGAAAAAAAATGAAACAAGATTTTAACAAAAAAAAAATCATCTAAAAGTTATTATAATAATTATAATTATAACCATATGATTATAAGAAAGGATAATGATAAGACTTTTTCCTATAGATACCATCTATTAATCCAGTAAATCGATCAGCTACATTTTTATTTGTAATTTTAATAATTCCGTGTAAATTCGAGTTCGTTCCATTTGTAGATTGGGTTGCAAATGACAATTAATTTTGATCATGAAAATAGAAAAATATAAAACATAAAAAATTAATATCTTGATAATAATTTAAAATAATTTAGAAGAAAATAAATAAAAATAAAAATTATAAAAATAAAATTCCTTATATATTTCTTTTATTATACACATATTTTTCCATTTCATATCTATATTTATTATTATTTAATATAATAATATTAATATTACATTAACATAATTTTATTTATTATCATCTTTATTAATTTTATTCTGAGCATTATTACAACAATAATTACAATTTATAGAAAAAAAAAGATAACGAAATATATGAAAATAATTAACAAAAAAAAAAAATTTTTTTTATTTGAAAATTTTAGCATATTTTAAATCATTGTTTTATATTATATAATTATTATTCTTTAGAAAATGTTCATTATGAGACGTCTTATAATTATTATAACTTATAATTTACCAGTTTCAACTTTACGAATAAACCTTTAATAACACGCAGAAATCAGATAATTGATTGATAAAATGTTTTATATTATTACCTTCAATTTAAAGTAGAAATATATTTGTAATAAAATTTTTAATATAATTTTGAAAATATGCTTTACATAACAGAGAGAAATGTAGTGTTACTATAGTAATAAAATGTATTGACATTGAATGAAATTCTCGATAATCTAAAAATATAATTACTATCAAATAAAAAATAAATATGCTATTATATAAAAAAAATAACAATAATGCATTATTAGGCCTGCTCTGGGATTTAACTTTCCAAATTTTTATTCCTGTGGATTAATTGAAATACACACCATACTGAAAACCTGACTGAAAAAGTAGTAAGATTTCAAGTATAGAATTTCAAATTTATTAACAATATCCCATCACCTTAAGTAATGCATTTAAAAGAACATGAGTTATTATAAAACATTTCTTAAAATCCCTTTTTTGACCTATATTCTTGGAACATTAAATTTATCAATTTTATTTATATGATGAAGAGAAGAATGATTTGTCTTATAGTAAAATTACTAAAACTATAATGGTAAAGTTATAGAATATTGAAATGAATTTTTTATATATGAATTGCGAACATAATAATATTTATAAAATAAAAATTTAATTATAAAATGTTGCTAAAATTCAACTAACAATATATAATAAAAACAATGATCTACCAAATATTATGATTTCTAATCGGTCTTTTATTTCAATTAAAAAAACAAAAGTACATTAAATTAATAAAATAAAAATAATTTTATCTATTTTATAAGAAGCCAGAGTAAAAAATAAATAAATAATTAAAGAAAAAGCATTATGTATAAAATTTTTACTATGAATTGAATAGCTATAATTATTTTTTTGCAAATCGTTAGAGTAATAAAAAAAAATAAAAAAAAAATTTATATAATTTTCCAAGTATTTTTCAACTTTTTTTACTTACCACATGTAATTAGTTTACATTTTTCATTAATTGAATCTGAAAAAAAAAAAAAACAAAAAAAACAAAAAAAACAAAAAAAATGGACAAGCTCAGTAGAGCTTTCAGATTCTTTAAGATTTTATTTAATTTTGTTTTTTGAAAAAAAAATTTTTTTTGAAATGATGGGTTAAAGATTGTCTCCCTTAACTTTTATTTTGTTTAAAAAAAATTTATTTGGATTAATTCCAAAAAAAAAAAAGAAAAAAAAAATAGTTCACATTTTGCTTCCAAAACTATTTTTTTTTCAAAATCATTTTTAAAAAATTTTAATTGATTAATAAATATATTTTTTGAATTCAATTTAGAAGGGTTTTTTTTGGTACACTTGATATGAATTGTAGATGCTTTTTTTTTATAACTTTCTCATTGAGTTTATTTTTAAAAGAAAAATTAACATAATTTGAAATTTTAATTATTTAAAAATAGACAATTTTAACTATTCAAAACTGCTACTTGTTTTAAACTGAGGCTATACTTTCATTTGGAAAAAAAATATTTAAAAATAATTTACCAAAACATTTAATTGATGGAAATGGAAATAACTCATTTTATCTATATATTTAATTAATTCGAGCTATTTCATATATAAAAAATTTCAATAGTACATGTATTATCATATTGAATTCAGATAAATCTCATAGAGTTTTATCTTATGAATGGCAGTAATAGCACGCAAACATCAGTATTAAATAATTAATTTTTTAACAATTTTAATAATTCGTTTAAAAGAAATGAATTTAGGAAATAAATAAATATTAAATTTTCGATTAAAAAATATTTAATATTTAAATATTTAAATATTTAAATATTATGAAATTTAAATATTTTGTACTTATAAATTATTTCTTGTAATTTTAATTTTCTTATGAAAATGTACATATGTATATAATACAGAGTATTAAATATAAATATTAATCAATGAAAATTTTGGTTTCCTTCTGCAATGTAGACATTTATTTTATGTGTACGACGTTTACAAATCGATATTATTGAGTTCTTCAGGAAAAAAAATCAAAAAAAAAAACAAAAAAAACAAAAAAAAATTCCACATCAATTATATAATTTTATTGATCAAAAAAAAAGGTTATTTTGTTTTTTATTTTATTTTTTTTTTGAATACATCAAATTTTTAATATACTTTTTCAGAACATCATTTTTATGTTTGATATATATATGTATATATATATATTTATAGATTATTATTAATTATAGATTGTAAATTTAACTTTGTTTTCCCTTTTTCTTAAAATTTATAAATTTTGATGTCAATGCTGTATATATATGTATATATATATTTATATTTATGAGTTGTTATAAGTAAATTTTATTAAATTAAAAAAAAATATCAAATTCTTGAGTTTATTATAGATAATTTAAAAAAGATTTTAATTATTCCAAAACTGTCTTATATTGTCTTGTATAATATTATATATTATATATATATATATTATAGTATAATAACTTAGACTAATTATATTAAAATTATTTTATTAATATAATTATATGGTTAATAATAAAAGATAAAATATATTTTAAAGATTGAATTTGAATTTGAAATTGTCAGAAATTTTTCAATTGTTTTTGAAACATTTTCATAATTTTCATATACATTTTTAGTTGTAAACTCAAGAAATTGTACTATTTTAGTTGTAAGATTAAATTTTTTTGCTCATTGTAATTATTTTTTTTTTTTTATTTTTTATCTGTTTTTTTATATTTTATTTTAATAATTAATACTAGATCTAATTTTAAGAGATTAGTAAATTAGTTGTATATGTGCTATGCAAACGTTAATATTATGTAGATTATTATATTGCATATTTTATATTATTTAATTAATTGTTATTTTTTTTATATAATATACTATACATATATATATATTTATGCTGAAAATTTAGCTTAAAAATCTATGAATTTGAAATGAGAACTTAATTATAATATTATAATTATTGTAATATAAATTTATATTTATTAACGTTCATGTATAATATTTAAATATATTTGTTTACATATGAAATTTTTATACATATGTTCAATTATTAAAAATTTTTTATTTTCATATTATATTAAATGAATATACATATAAACGTTAAGCATAAGTAAATTTTAAAATGCTTAAATAAATATATATTTATATTATTTATTTTATATAAAAATATATGAGCAATTTTATTATACCGCCGAAACATAAGATATATTTACTCCAATCAAGCATATTTTTTTACTTAAATGGTACCAGTAGAAAAACCAAAAATATTTCAAAAATAGTCTTTATATCGCAAAACATAATTTTTGAGAGTTAAAGTATTGTTCAAAATAAATATTGTGATGCATTTCTTTTCCACTTAGAAAAAATCATAATATTTATTCTGAATCCATTGTCAAACTCAACAATATGGTTAACGATATAAAAGCTAAATTGAAAAATGAGTATCTAAACTTTTGCTCTCACCCGGTCTGAAAAATTTTGAATTTTTGTATTCAGTTGCATAAATTTTATACTCATATATCATATAATTTTTAAAAATTGTTATAATTTTTATTATATTCTGAATATTCAAAAATATATGTAGATATATATATATATATATATAAATAGAATTTATATTATAGCAATGTATTATTAAAAAAAAACGTTTAAAACGTTAATTTAATTTATTCTATTATCTGTCCAATTTTCTTTTTTTTTCTCATATCAAAATCTCATCAACTTCTTTAACAATATTATCTATTCCTATACTATGTATGTTCTCTATCTAAATAAAATATGACAATTTATTTAAGCATATTTAATGCAAGATATTTAAATATTTAAGATATAAAATATTTAAGAGTTTCCATTAAAATGTAACCGCAAAGGAAAATATATATTAAAAAAGCATTCTTTTAATGAATCCTTCATGCTTAATGAAAAGAAAGTTGTTGGTTTTGTTTTTTAAATTAGTATTGGTAAAAAATTAAATATGAGATTAAAAATTATAATTTATATTTACAATCATTTCTCTTTTCCATTCTTGGATATAAACAATTTTTTTTGAATATTTGTACATAATGAAAACACAATTTTTATTTAATAACTTTGTACCGTAGTGAAAACTATTTTTATGGTTACATTATAGAGAACAATTAAATTAGGATTTCTTTTTAATAATAGAATTGTTGTTGAAAATCCTATTGAAAATATGAAAATTTTTATTGAATAGAATAATAATTAAGGAGATCAACCTAATAAGAGAGAAAAATGTTGATGTGGATTTAAAAAAAAATTAATTTTTCGATCAATAATCTTTGATTAAGATACGAACATATTCTCACACACGTTATACCTACACTTAAACAGTACTTTATTAATTTCTTAAAATTATTTTTTTATAAACTATTTCCTATTTTTTATTTCAAATTAATTCAATAAAAAGGTTTTAATCATTTGTTTCTATTTTCTTGTTTTTAAATGTTTAATATATATACTTTTTTTTAATTTTTAATTTGTAATTTTTAAATTTTTTTTTTTAAATTGATTTATTTATTTGATTTATTATATGTTTGGAATCAGATCAGATTTTAATTAATAAAGTTTAATATGATTTTTAAATTGAAAATTTAAAAGAAATAGTGTTTTATTAAGTGTTGTTTATTAGAAATTTTTTCATTTTTATTAAATATTTAAAATAGAGAATATTTCTTTTAATTGAAAAAGGATACCATGATTTTCATCACATTAATTGAAATTAAAATTCATAATAATTTTTAATATGAATTTGCAAAAAAAAAAAAAACAAATATTGAATTTTATAAAAAAATTTAATTATAATTTTTTCGACACAAATTTTTTTAAAATCTTTTAATTTGAATCAATTTGTTTAAATATAGTGGTGAGTTATATGTAGAGAAACATGCTTAAAAAGAAAACTATTGTTTTTAATTAATTTTTATTTAGAATAAGATTTTCCATTTCATTTGTTATTCAAACATTAAATTATTTCTTTTTTGATTTATGAGCCTTAATCCTATACAATAGTCCCAAAAAAAAAAAAAAATTACTTTTATAATTAAATTTTTTCTTTTTTTTTTTATTACTTTTCCTTAAACTGCTAATATAAAAAAAAAAAAAAGAAAAACCAAACGTTTGGTTGTAAATTTACAAATTTTTGTTGATATTAGCGAATTTACTATTTTATTAATTATATAATTTTGTTTTTTTTATGAATCTAAAACTATTTTTCTCTTTTTCTTTTATTTAAGGATGTTTTTTTTTAATCAGAAATCTAATTTTCATTTTCAATTTTATTAATTTTTTTTTTAATTTAATTAAGAGTTTTTCTTTTTAAAGTTATATGTAATTAAAAATATAATAGATTATTAGTTTTTTTTTAATTTTTATATTTTTATTTTCTAATTCTTATTATTTTATTCCTTTAAATATTTCATATACGATTTCAAAAATGATTTTACAGTGGTAAGTAAAATTTAAAAATTTTTCATATTTTTTCATTATGATTATTTGTTTTTTTTTTTTGTATGTAATTAATTAATTTATTTCATTACGTTAAAAATTTCCTTCTTTTCTGATTAAATTATAAATTATTTTCTCATATTTATTCGAAATAAAATAAAAAAAAATGATGACTTAAGTTAAGTTTTAAAAGATATTAATAATTAATTATTATTATTTTTTTTGCGTTTTTTTTTTTATTTTTTTTAACTTATAAGATAAATATAATATAATTTCTTTTTATTTAAAACGAACAAAAAAAAAACTAAGTTAATGAATAAAAAAAAAAGTTGTAAAATCTAATTAAATCAAATTATGGTTAGCAAAGAAAAAAAAATTATAATTATTTTGTTATAATTATATAAGAATATTGAAAATAAAATACAATTATATAAGATTATAGATATATAAATATTGTTTTATATAGACATCTATATATATATATTTATATATATATATATATATATATATATATATATATATATATATATATAAATTATATTACTATTATTTGATAAAATTAAAAATAATCATCAAAAAAGTTTTATTAAAAAGAAAAGTTCACTACATTCTTATTTTTTTTATATAATTTAAGCTTTTGGTGGTTAATGATGGTGGTTGATTTCGTATATATATACATATATATATATATAAATATATTTATATTATTATTGAAAATATATATATATTTTAATAATATATATATATTATATGAAATATTACTATAAATATATACATATATATATATATAAATATGTTTGTTGTTGTTATATTTCTTTAAATCAAAGAAACTGGTCTACCATTCTTATTAATTGGTTTTTTAAGTTTTTGTTTTTTTGTTTGTGTTCTTTTCTTCGAATATTAAAGTGAACAGAAATGTTTGTTTTTATTTTCCAAATAATATTATTGATTTTTAGTTTTTTTTTTTTTTTTAAATAAAATTGTTTTGCTTTGTTGTTATTTTTTTTCAATTTCTATCTTCTGAATTCATATTTAAATGTTCTTTACTTTTTTCCGAAATTTTTGTTATATATATATATTTTTGCTCTTTTATGTATTTTTTTTTTTTAAAATTGTATAATAAAATTTTATAGGTAGTTCGGATTGTATGGATGAACTTTTTTGAAAAAAGTAATTTTTTGTCTACCTCTGTGCATAATATTGTTGTACATAGGTGTTTGTAGACCACCACCGCCACCCATATATACGTGAGCTTTTTGTTTACCGTGTTCTTCAGCAACACGAACAGTTAATGGTTGCATACCACCTTCAGGAATCACATTATTTAAAGCAGATATTGCTTCTTGAGCCTCCTCACGTTTATTAAATCTAAAATTGTACAAAAAAAATGTGTGCATGTAATTTATTTTAATTTTTTGTGTGTGATTTGCGTATTTAAATTTTAATTATAAATACATACATACATATACATATAATATTCTTGTATATTATACTTTAATATTATTTTGTTACCTTACAAACGCAACTCCTCTTGGTTTGCCAGTCAATTTATCTCTTAAAATATTCTTTTGTACAATTTGTCCATATTTGCCGAATATTATATCTAATTGATCTTCTGTAATTGTACGTGGAAGATTTGTTACATACAAATTGGTATCTTTAAGACAATCACCACCAGGTCGTGCATATGAAACCTTAAATTTAAAATAGAAAAACAAATATTTGTTTTTTAGTTTTTTGTTTTTTTAATTTATTATTGTTTAATAAATATAATATTTTATAACAAAAAATACTATAAAAAAAACGGGAATATTATAAATTGAAATTTCCCATCTAAGTACATACAATTCTTAAAACTAAATTTATTAACCTAATTTTCTGCCTAAATTTAAGGATTTCCTAGATATTCTAAACTACTTTTATTATTTCATACATACAATCAGTCATACACATATTCTTTTATCTTGCTTTATCTTTATTATATTATGTAGTTAAGAAAAGCGGAATATAAAATTATAAATCAAGTAAATCTAAATCATCCTATAGAATACCCCACACATTCAATTATTCTCTAAGCATTAAAAGTACTTAAGCCAAACGTTCTCTATTTTTTTTTTGTTAATATGTAAAAAGACAACCATTTAAAAATCAACATTATTTTCTTCCATTTGTTTATATATGTACATATTTGTTTATGTATGTACATATTTTATTTCTTACAGAGTAATTGAGATGAGATGAGAGAAATAAATAAACTTGACACGTAGCCAGACTTGAGACAAAAATGTTTAATTTTCATATTTTTAGGCAAAGAAGAAAACGTTTGAAAAAAAAGAAAGAAAAAAAAAAAACAAAAAAAAACTAAAAGTTTATAGAATTTATGTAGAAAACTTTGGACAAATAAACTTAAAAATTAGGAGAACAGAAAATATAAACTGAAAACTGAAGACTAAAGACAATATATAACAATAAAGTGAGCATTTTCCATTTTCACTTTTGTCACTCAATACGATGCTGAATGAATGATAAATTTAGTAAACGCTTTCACCTGAAAATCGTGAGTTTTATTACTATACATAAATTGTTTACAAGAAATTTTAAGAATACTAATTTAAAAAAAAAGATTTAGATATGTATGTTGATGTAGTTATAGACATAAATTGAAGTAGATGACTATAATACGATTTCTGAAAACATAATAAATGAGATTTATTGACGGCGTCTTTAAATTTTCCAATTTAATTCAGTATATAAATTATTAGTTAATAAATTATGAAATGTATAAAGAATTTGAAAATCGTTTCATTGCAAAAATGATCGCAAATAAAAATACATATGTACATACGAATATATACTCGTATTTGAAAATAATATTTAGTATTATGTCACAAAATTTAACAAAATAAATCCATATAATTTTCAAACGCACATGGACATAGAAAATTCTTCATAGAAAAAAAGGGTGTTTGTTTATTTTTATTGGGAAAAAATTAAAATGAGATGAAATTTTGAGAAATTCGAGAGAACCAGGAGAGAATTATCTGTGCAAATAATAACTAAATTAAGAAATGTAACATTTATAATAACTAATTAACAAATACTTAATAACATTTTTGAAAAAAAAATTAAAATTCTGAGAGAGTTTTTTAAAATACAGTAATATCCTATTTTTTGACAAGAATAACATCTTTTCAATAGTGAAAATTTTTTTCACAAATTTTTGAGGTTTAGATTAACAATTACCTAAAAATAATTTTTTGAAAATTTCACTAACCAACTTTTTACCATTAATCCTTTACAATAATCCTATTACAAAATAAAGAAAGAAAAAAAAATAGGTATTTTCATATGCGGCGAACATTCCCAGTTATTCACACCGTTATATAGGTGAAGAAATTTCTAAGGTATCTTTTCTAATGTTGATAACATATTAATAAACATATTAATAAAAACAAAGCCTGCAGTGTAATATTTTCAGGTAGTAATATAATAGATCTTCTTTATACAATCATATATGTATATATGCCAGCCATTTTAGCATTTTTGTTTCCAAAATATATAGAATTTAATTTTTAATTCAAATACACACAAATATTATTTAACAAATATGTACATATTTACCTATATGTATTATAATATTTTATTTAGATACCTACTTAAACCTTCATGTTATTTATACTGTTCATTTGGGTATAGACCCATCATTTATATTTTATGTTAACATAAATATTACACACTTTTATATATATACATACAATATACAAACTTTTATAATTCGTAATATAAATTGTAAGAAAATTGAGGTAATTTTTCTTACATTTATTTTGTTTATTGAGAAAAAAAAAATTTTTTTTTCGTTTCTCTTTTTAAGGGTATTAGAAAATACCATTTAATCAAAAGGTTCACTTAATTTCACTTTATATTCATTAAGTATATTATATAATATAGGTAATTAAAAAGTATATACATAACAATATACATACTACATACGTACATTATATTTTAGATTAACCAAAAGAGAAAATAACAAAGAAAAAATTATTTGTTCTATATGTAAATCACCATAATCCTTTCTTCGATTAAAAATATAGTGTTGTTGAAGGTATAAAAAATATTAATTAGAGTTTAAATTAAAATTAAGTAATTTTTTTTATATGTGTGTATGTAATAATAATGTAAATGTTGAATTGGATTGTTTTATGTATATATGCAGTAATATTAATTAGTAATAAAAATGATTAAGAAAATATAATAATTATTCATTTAGTTAATATTTATTAAAATTTATTTTTAACAGGGAAGAAAAGTTGGGGATTATGTAAGGAGAATAACCAAATGTATGTTATTATAACATAAAATTAATGTCGTTTCACGTATTGTAATCACATGAATGAGAAATATTAAATTTTCAAATAAATTTTTTTAATGAAAAGAATTAAATATGATTATAACACCAAATATGTTCTAGAATATTGCAGCAATAAAAATTTGTGTGATAGAGATTTAGATCACCGTTTAACAACAATTATTTCATGAAAAGATAATAACATTGAATGGAGACCATATGTCAATTAAGAAAAACCAACTGGTATAACGGGATGCATATTTATTGTGTAATTAGACAAAAGATGAAAATTTGTTCATTTGTTTATTTTATAAAAAAATATTAATAAAATTTGAAATTCGAGATATAAAACTAATTCTTTCATTTGCAAAGAATAAAAAGGATACAAACGCTTTTCTAAAAACAAAAATTTTTACAATTTTCCAAAGAAACATTTAAAAATTATGACAGTATAAAAATAGCAAGAATATGAAAAAATAGAATGTCAATAAAAATTTCGGTCACCGCCTTGTCGTCACTCATTTTTTTTTTTTCTTTTTTGAGGTTCTTTTTTTTTTTTAATAAAAACTCAAATTATCTCAATAAACAAAATAATGCTTTCTTTTTGTAAAAAATTTATGTAAATTTATTATTTTTGTTATACAAATAATTTTAATACATACTCGTATAATAGAGTTTTATTTTTTATTTTTAAGCTAGTCTAAACGCATTTAGAAGAAAATATTCATACACGAGTATAATATTAAATTAGTACTTCTTTAGGAAACTAAAAAAGAAATATGAAAATCAAGACAATTTAATTGAAATTTAAGAGAAAATTCATTTTGAATGAGATATTTTAGAGTTTCTATGAAACTTCGAACAAAATTTTTTGTTTAATTATGATTTGAAGATTATAATTTTTTTTCCAAAATTAAATAATTAATTGCAATTATCTGAACAAATAGAAAATTCTTAAATTGAGAATATAGGAACATTTTCTTTGAAATATATTTTCGAAATTTATATTAAATACGATTTTTGCATTTTTTCTCAAATTATTGACTGAATGTCTCTTTTTCAAAAACAAAGTGAATAAATTTTGTATAAATTTTGGAAAAAAAAAAAACGAGATACGCAATACCAAATAATTTTTCTCACTTAATTGTGCAACTAAATGATAACTACTCACTTTCTTCTCACTTTCCGAGTAAAATAGCGAGATAGACGATCAAGCAGTAAATACTTAAAATTTAAAAAAATCATTAGGGTTTTAAATACAATTTTCAAAAATTGTTAAAATTTTCATTCGCTTAATGCTAGTAATTTATCGCTATATTAAATTTCTAATTATTTTTCATATACTTAATAAAAATTTATTTATTTTTTCTTATACTCAATACTCGTATAAGTATTTTAATAAAATTTCATAATTGATGCAAAATAATTATTATATATATACATATATTATATATATATATATATATATATATATATATATATATATTTTTGGTCTGTGTTTAATAGTATGCTTGTATATATACATATATACATATTTGTATATATTATTTAAAAGTAATAATAAGCAATATGATTAAATATTACATACTTTAATTATATTTTTCCTTTAAATAATTTTAAGAAGAAAAAAAATATAAGAAAAAAAAATAAAATTTTTAATTTAGATAAAATAATTTTTAAACAATTGTTCTCCTACATTTTTTTTTTTGTTATACCACCATAACATCATCCTATAACAATTCTTTTATTAAATTGCTTGTGTAAGCAACAAAAAAAAAATAAAAATAAATAAAATATATAGGGAGATTGTTTTTTAACGGAAAATCATCAAGAAAGAAAAGGCAGAAGCCTGAAGGATATTTTTATAATTTTCATTTTTCTTTTGATATACGTACATACACACAAACATATATGAACCTACAATTATCTACATATTATATAAATTTTTATAATATTTGCTTATTTTTCTGTTTTTGCTTTTGTTTACTGCCTTATATTGTAGATCTATTCACTTTCTTATTATTTTAAGGATTTTTTTTTCTTATTTTCTGCGTTCTCTTATATATTTTTTTGTTGTGGAATTTTGAAAACAAAAAATTTAATTTTAATATTTTTTTTATATACATATACCAGAAAATATATATAGGGTAGAGTAGATTTATTAATAAATAATTGTATGTATACAGTAAAACTCACTTATTTATTAAAAAAAATATATTACGATACATTCTTTATAATTGTATTTTAAAATTATAAAATGTCAAAGATTATTATTATTGCTATTACAATACCCTTATACTTATGTATATTTATTATATACAAATATGCTCCCTCAGGAGATTTTTCTCCAAATTTCTTTCTCCAAAAATTGTTTACATTAGTAAACAAAAAATTGCAAAAATATTGTGTAAACTTTTTATTCTACAAACAATATCAAATATTGTTGATATTTTAGAATTCCCATGTGTCTAAAGTCTGTTGAATATCAAAAATATTATACATTATTATTCTTTTTAATGAAATCATAATAAAACTTAATCATTGTATATAAGAAGAAAATTATTAGTTCATAATAATTATTATTTTATTTAAGTGTATATGTCAATTTACTTTTCTAAATGACACAACAAAATTTGTAACATAAAAAGAGTTTCTGACGAATTTATATACATATGTTTGTTAATAATCATAGATTTTATGAACAACTATTAAAAGAAATAATTCTGATTGACATAAACTTGGCAACACTATTTCAAAAATCAAATATGATAGGTAATTAAATTTAATGAACAAATGCAGTAAAAAATACAAAAATAATTAAAGAATGTAATAATATTCGCTCAGTACAAAAATATTTTTGTAATTAGAAACCAAAAACAGTTAAGTCCAATTTTTCAATTTTTAATATTATAGCCAAATTTTTATTTTGAAAAAATTTTATTAATAAATTTCAATTAGTTTCAAAATTATGAATTAAGATATAAGAAGTAAGAAAATTTTGTAAAATTTTATTTTTCAAAATAAGAGAATATTTTAATTCTTGAATTTATTTAATTTAAATTCAATTTTCAAGCTTATTTTACTAAACCGGAGAATTTTTGAAAATAAGTATTATAATTGGGTTTTTCTAGAAATTCAAAATCATGAAATAGAATTATAAGAAATTAGAATTTTTTAATAAAATTTAAAGACAATTTTTTTCACTTTCCAACCAGTTTTCCTTAAATCTTCATAAATATCCTTATTTTTTTTATAGTTTCTTACATAAACCTCTGAATCTAAGAAGCATAATTTCGTAAATAAGTGAATATTACTGTATTTTATTAAATCAAAAATTTTTTTTTTAAATTTTTTTCTTTGAAATCTCTTACACACAACAAAAAAAAACACAAAATCTGCATTACTTTCTTTATTATTTTTGAAGGTCTATTATAATAACATGAACAAAAACACAATATTATAGTATATATATATATATATGTGTGTAGTGGAAAATCTCTTGTTAATTGCTTTGTATTATTAAAGAATATGTCATACTCATATAACACAATACAAGTAAAATAGCCGACTACCTATACTTGAAATATAATTTATAATAAAAAATACTTAAAAAAAAAAAATAAATATTTTTTTTTCTTTTCTAGTAAAAGAAAAAATTTAAGATTTTTGAAATTTTTTGAAACTGTGCAAAAAATTAATTTTGTGCGAAATATTAATAAAATGAAAAATAAGAAAAAAAAATATTGAAGATAACAACAAAAATTCTATTAAAAATATTTAACAAAAAAAAAAAAGAAGAAAATTTCTTAAAAGAATAAAAAACACATAAAAAAATAAAAAGAAGAAAAAAAAACTGCTTAAAAAAAGCTTTCCAAATACAAAAGAAAATATTAAATAAAATAAAAACACAAAACGTTCTTCATTTTTTCCTTAAGCGGCTTTGAAAATCAAGTATATCGATTTTTCTTTTCTTCATATTATTAATGTTAAATAATAGCAATAATAAATTCCTCTTATATATGTATATATAAGAATCTATACATTATATATAAAAAAAATTAAAAATACCACACATACAATCATACACAAATTTTATATAATACAGTCAATCTCCGCCTCCACAATAAATTAAATTTAATTCGTTAAATATTGTCTAAAATATTTTTAAGCTAAAACTAAAATTCATATATGTATAAGATAGTATTGACACCTGAATTAAAATAAGTATGACAACTTCATACGCACATCATTAATGTGACCATGACACACACCATTCTTACATTCGCAACGTAACTATATTGAGCTACATACAGAAGTTGTTGCGTTGAAACAGGTAATTACGCAAAATTTATTCTGATAGATGTCTTCACATTTATTATTATGCCAAATGAAATCCTTTATATTAAAGTTTATATAGATTAAGTTTTACTCTTATGTACATTTAAAATAAATTTTTCATACAAATAGTCGCATTTCATATAAAAATTACTCGGAAATTATTTAGAGTGTCTTAAATTCTTAAAAGCAGCACAATCATTGTGACATGTCATTTAATTCATTATAAAATGAATTTTATATTCAACAATCAAATAGTATATCAAGAATTCACTGTTAAGTTAGTGTTTTCATATGAACCATTGCTTATAAATATTATTTGATGAGAATTAAGGGGTGACCTTTTATTTTCTTTTATCAAACAAAATTCACGTACGTTTACACATCTAACTTTCATTAAATATTCATCATAGATCAAATAAAATCCATCAACAATGTTTGATATATGTAAATGCTGCCTTACCAAATCATTTGAATAGAAAAGCGTATGTTATTAAAAAAAACAAAAAAAAAAAAAAAAAGGGTACATGAATAAAATATTTGGAATCATTTTTTATTTAAAAACAAAAAAAATATCGAAATTTTTCAACAAGATATACTTATGATGTATACTTGTATGTATGTATAACATCTAGATTTATACAATGTTATTTAAATTATATATTAACATTATAAAATATTTTTTCAGCATCATGATGATGATGAGCAAATATTGTCATATTTCTTTTTTTATGTTTCATGTAGATTTTTGAACTATTAAAGCTTCCATACTAGGTCAAATTTTTTTATACAGAAAATGAAAACAAAATAAACATAAACTAATATGTATGTATGTACAAAAATATGCACGTGTATAATATTTTTATATATACTTAATATACACATTGTTTATATAAATTTGAAAATATTTTAACGAAAAAAAAAAATATGTAGAAAGGAAGTAGGAGAAATTATTACTGCCTTGACTTTGAATAAGAATTTCATTTTTAATATTTTTTTTTTCTCATATTATTTCGTTTAAATATACCTTTTTATAAATTTATTGTTTAAAATGTCTAGAATTTTCTAACCTGCTTTTTGTTTTACTATTAATTTACGTATATACCTACATAGGTACATATTTATACATTTTTTAAGAATGTCAAGTTTGATATATTTCTAATGAAATCATTATTTTTTTCATATGAAAAAAAAACCAAAAAAAAAAAAATATTATAATATAAAAATCACTTATAAGATTGGCAATGAAAATTTTATTATATAAGAATAATATAAAATAGCAATGATTTTGGTTATAAAAAAATTATTTACATACACATAATACATGCATATATGCATTTATTATGCGATGATTTCTTCAATTTTTACGAGGAAATCAAAGCAAATTGTAGACAAAATTTTTCCTACAAAATGATGTATTAAGTAGGGTTTTAAGATAATAAACATTTTAAGATATGAAACATGAGATTTGTGTTTGATATAAGTTTGATGTAATATTTATGAAAATATATGACCTATAAAAAATTTGCTTGTTATGTTTGATGGAAAAAACATTGGAATGTCATCAAACTCTTATTTAAACGAAATTCTCAAAAAATATTTGATATCTACATTCTGTTATATGATGTGAATAACACCATGCACTGTTTATATGGAAATATTTAACAATTTCGAAATTTTGACAACTTGCTAACTATGAATTTGGAAATATTTAAGAAATTAAGTATAGAATTATAGTTAGTATCTTTAATCATAAGGAAAAATAAAATAGCTTCAGTTATGCACATTTTAAAAAATCATTATACCTAAATTCTTTTAATACCCTACTTAAGACATTTTTCCTCCTATATTAAATTCCTCATGTATAGGAGGAAGATTATGACTATAACTTTTAATTTTTAATACTTTTAACTATTTTTACATATTTCAATAGGTTTCATATAATGATCCCAATCAATTTAATCCCAAGAAAAAAAAATTTTTTTTTCTTACTTCTAATTATTAAATAAAATTTATTATTTATTTAAAAATATATATATATATATATCTTAATTACTTACCTTTAATCGTTTTGTTCGTACTGTAATACCATTTAGACTTTTAATAGCTCTTTGCGCATCTGTTTCATTACAAAAATCAACAAATGCGTAACCAAAACTGTAACCAGTCTTAAATTAAAAATAAAAAATTATAATATTTACGAAAAATTAAAAAAAAATAAAAATTTAATTTCGAAAAAAAAAAATACAAAAAAAAAAAAACAAAATAAAAAATAACTAAAAATACCTTCAAGTCTCTCATTATTCGACATGTATTTATTGGACCAATTGTCCTAAATAATGAATATAATTCACGATCTTGCATATCTTGCGGTAAGTAGTTAACAATTAAATTAGTTCCACTACAACCAACTGGTAATGGCCCACCACCTGGTCCAGCTAAATTACTTGTACTCGATGCCATATGACCCATTTGACCTAATGCACTATTCGCTTGAAAATCATTATACATTGCGCGACTACTTCTTTGTGGTCCACTAAACATTCCTGGTCCTGGACCACCAAATCCTGCACCAGCTGGATATGATGATGTAAAATCTGTGTCCTGTGGTGAAAACGCATATCGTGACTGAAATTTTCAAAGAATTTGAACTTGGACGCGATTGCATTTTGAAAGCTTTTCTATTTTTTTTTTTGTTATGTTTATTTCTGTTTTTTTTTTATTTAGTTTAATTTAATTTATTGTAATTAATTTAAAAAAATTTTTTTTTTTTTTATTAATTTAATAATTAAGAAGAATTCAAAAAAAAAAAGATTCTTAATCTTTTTGCCATAAAAATTGTAATTTTTTTTTTTTTTTTTGAAAAATATTTAACAACAAAACTCAAATATAAATTTTTAGTATTGAAAAAAAAAATTAAGTAAAATCAATAACAAATCTCAAGTCTCAAAATTTTCAAAGGGGTTCTACCAAAAAAAAATTATTATTTAAAAATTATTTTTTTAAATTTCAAATTTATTTATACAAAATAAATATTGTATATTATTTGTGTACGGTATATTTATGTATTGAATTTAGTTTTTGTTTTGGAATATAATTATAATTAAATTTATTATTTAAAATTCAAAAACAAAATTAATTTTTTCGGTTTTTTTTAATTTTTGTTGTTGTTTTTTTTAAGTATATTTTAAATTGGTTTCAACTACTTTTTATTTTGAATAAAAAAGTTTTCAAATATCCTGTGTGTGATTATGACTGGGATGTTATGTATATGTATAATGTATATGTATATAATTATTAATATTTTTAAAAAACTAAAATAAGAACTCAAACATAAAAAATAAATTTCATTCTTTTGCACCTTTAAAAAGCATAGAATGAATGAATCGATGAAGAAAATTATTATTTAAAAAAAAAAATGTGTTTAAGAAGAAAAACAAAAAAAATAATAAATTCAATTAATTATTTATGAAAAAAAAATTATTATTTATAATTTATTCCTTTTTAATAAAAAAAAAATAAACAAAACTGTAAAAAAATGTTGAATAAATCCATTTTGAGTAATTGATATTTGAAAATTAATTGGTATATAGGCGGAAGAATTGCAAAATAAACTTTTATTAAATGAAAAAAAAAAATATTAAACTAAACAAAATTTTAAATATTTTTTTACTTATTTTAATTTATTATTAATATTTTTTTTTTAATTTTTTTCCTATTTCCTTAATTAAAAATTTATTTTCAATTAAAATATCCATGAAATTAATTTTTCATTATTAAGAAATGAAAGAATCATTTTAAATTAAAGTTACTTTGCAGCTCAAAGAAAATTTTAATAATATTGGTAATTTTAATCTTTAATTACGTCATTTATATATATATATATATATATATATATATATTTAAATAAAGGATGTGGGGTTTTTATATAGATTATTAAGAAAATGCTATACACACAAACTCTTGAAGAAAATTGTACAACTCATTTATTGGGCTCAAAATTATTTAATAATATTTATTTTAAATAAAATTTTAAAAATTATTGTACACTTTTCGAAATCTTTAAATTATAAATAATTGTAGATTTGTGAACGGTTAACGTTAAAATTAACAATTGAACTAGAACATTAATGTCGGCAGCCTAAATCTGAATTAAACTTCAAATTGAAGAAAATATAATTTATCATGTATCCAAAAATTTAAGAACTTTTTCAAATTATCAAAGTTACATTACGAAAACATCAAAATTTTGAAAGAATATGTGCATATTTCGAAATCAATTGTACAATTGAAAGCCTTTTAATGACATTTGTTAAATTATTATAAATTGTATTATAAAGTTCTATTATACGAGTATACGTATTAATTGTATTATAAAGTTCTAAATCAACATTTTTGCTAACTCTTTTGTATAATACAGACGCAATCCAAAAAATAGCTGGAACAGCTTAATTAAATTCATAATTTGGTTATAAAAATCATCCTTAAATTCTTATAAGTTCAAATTTCCCGATTCATACTGGAAATGTATATGTGTTCATAAAAGTAACTGTAAATTTCTTATTGACAATTTTCAGATATTTTATGTCTTGTACGGAAATAGAGAATCGGATATATAGGAATCGGAAAGAATATTAACCAAGAAAAAATTTGAAATTGAACTCTTTGATCCGTTATATAACTTATTAAAATATGTATATATATACACACAAAATATATAGATATATGTATGTATATATGTGCATATGGACAAAATAATACTTAAAAATAAAAATTAAAAAAAAAAAGCAAAAATATAATTGAAATTTTCCGGTTCTGAATACTTTAAAAAAAAAAAATTTTTTTTTAATTTTATTTTTGTTGAATTTTTTTATGTACTTTATTTATGTATTTGTTGTTATGTTTTAAGTAAATATTTGAATAAAAAACAAAACAAACGAACAAAAACAAAAAATTTTTTTTAAAATGGAATAAGAAAATATTTTTATGCAAAAAACTTGAAAAATTTGAAATTTTTTTTAATTTTGTTTTCTTTATAAGCTTAATATACACTAAATAGATTATTTTTATTTCCTTAAAATATATAATATAATTATGTAAATACGAAATTATGAATAAAAAAATTGAGCGAGAATTTATAAGAAAATTTAATAGAAATTTTGTAAAATCGTTCAATTAAATTTTCAAAATTTTAAAAGACTTGTTATTATTTTAATGCTTTCTCGTACTGCAGAAATCAATACAAGAAATTCTTAATTTATTATTATAATTCTTAATTTATTAAGAGAAAATTCTTAATTTTGATTAACTAATTTTAAATTAATTTTTACTTTGAAACACGGATTTCTCTTACTAAAATTTTATCAAGAGAAAAAAAATTAAAAATTCATAAACTATTAAAATTATTATTGATACCTTTAATATATTGCAGATTAAAATTATTTATTTTTCCGCACAAATCAAATTAACATATTTAAAAATGGAGTAATTATTAATATACATATATACATATATATACATAACATAATACTTATACTCACTCAATTTTCGCTTATATAAAAAAGTCGATTAATTTCTTTTATGTATTATTTTTTTTAACGAAAAATTATATCTATGAAAATTATATGTTATACTAAATTGGCTATAATAGCTTATAGTTCTATCAAAATTGAATTTAGGTGTCGACTTCTAGAAACAATTTGTTAAACTGAATTTTGAAATTCCTATATTGAATTCAAATTTAAGCAAATTAATTTAAATTGAAGCAAATGTTTTTTTCGTACAACTGCAGAAGACATGGATGACATAGCCAAAGGAATGAGTTAAGACTGGAAAATTTAAAAATGCTTCTTATCAAACCACATTCTAAATAGTGCAGATGTACAGCTCAAGCTGTATCATAATTTATATTAATTTGAAGTTTTTATGAGAAGATGCCTAAGCTGCTAGACCATAATTTTACAAAATTTTATTGTGGTTAATATTAAATGTAATTATTTAATCTTTAAATTATCAAAAACATTTGACTTGTTTACATAAAATTCAGTTTGCAATTTTGCACTTATTTCTGCAAAAAAAAAACTGTATCTGGTCGCAAAATTTTTAATTTACGTTTTTATTAATTTATTTAATATTTTTATTAAATTATTTAATATTTTCGCACAAATGAGAAATCATTTGAATTTAAAATAGTGCAATATGAGCTTAGATTTATTTTAAAAAATAATTATAATTTTCTTATAAGCAAAAATCGTTTGTAAAATTAAGAGTCTCTTATAATTCAAATTGGAAAATTTTTATTTAATTTTTCCATAAAATATTGATTGTAATATGTACATTTACTTATATAATATATAATATAAGTATTTTCTATACTATATTTTGTTTTTATTTTTAATTATTTAAACTTTGTATATGAGGGAAATAATACTACTTTTATATTATATGCAAATCTACAAATTATCGTTTATTAATTTAAACAATTAAATGTTATTTTATATATATATATATATATATATACATATAGGGTAATTTGTGTTATATACATAACGTTATATTATAATAATCTATTGGTATAGTGCCAAGGAAAAATAAAACAAATCTTTCTTTCTGTGCTGTATATACTATATATACAATATCATTGTATTTATGATAATAATCAAATAAAGTATATAGTGTATATTAAGTGAAAAAACAAACAAACAAAAAAAAAAAAAAAACAAATTGAAAAAATTACAAAAAAAATATAAATTCAAACAATAATCAAAACAAATTATTTTTCAACAATTCAAATTTTAACCCCCTTTCATTTTCAAAAACAATAAAAATTGGAAAAAAATTTAAAAAAATTGAAATCTTAATTAAAAATTGAATTTTAAATATTTTCAACAATATTAATTTTCGTATATAAAATTAAATTCTGGCATAAAATTTTAAAATATTTTTTTTTAGCAAAAAAAAAATAAATAAATTTTAGCTTTATTATTTACAATTAATCTGCCTATATTACAAAGGTTATTGCAACAAAACTGACTACCTCTCTGAATAACGAGTTATCGTTCTATGAGTACTAAGTTCTATTCGAGTACTAGATATTTTAAATATATAAATAATGGTACACATGAAAATATTTTATATGAATTTAAATATTCACAACAAAAGACCTATATGAAATTAATCTGTATCACTTCAACAACAATATTGCCTAAAAAATCACTAGCTGACAGTAACCTAAATTATAATCAACTATTCTCGAATTTAATATAGATAATTGTTTATCATAAACAAGTTATTTATAATTAAATTACACTATATAACAATCTTATTGTTTTTATTAAATTTATAATTACATTTTTCTAGTACAATATTTTATTAATTTTACTCTTATATATCAGTATAATATGTATAGATAAATTTTCCCAAATTTTATACAAAAATTTATACATAGGAGACATAATTTTAAATTGTATTATACACAAAAAATTGATGTGCAAAATGAGGCGCGAAATATGACATAGCATTATCTATCATAATAACAAATTTCAATTCATATTATGTACATGTATTTCGTACAATATTTACGTCTCATATTAGTCATACATATA